GGGAAGGGTCGGGAAGAAAGAGTGGGGGGAGATGGGGAAGAAGACAAAGGAGGTAAGGCGGACTGGGTAGGAAGGGGGGAAATCCCAGACGGAGAAACGGGAGGGAGACCATCCGGGACAGGAGGCAAAGGAATAGGGGAGGTGGTGGTGGGTGTGGTCGGGTTTAAGACCTGGAAACGGTTGAGACTGAAGAAGACGGGAAGGACGAGGAGAGGTAGAATGCAACATGCTAGCGTAGGAGACGCCCGCGAAAGGGGCGAGACGACGAACTTGGCGTCTCGCTTCAGGAAAAGACAGACGATCACGGTGCTTCAATTTGAGGACGGCTTCCTCGAGTTTGTAGTGCATACATGAGCGTGAGAAGATAGGGTGGGCTTCACCGCAATTGAGGCAGCGAGCCTGGGGAGAAGTGCACTCGGACTTAGAATGACTATCGTCCCCACACAAGGGGCACAGATACACAGTACTGGTGCATTTGAGGACACTGTGCCCGAACTTCCAACACTTATTGCATAGTCTAGGAGAGGGAATGTACTCCTGAACGGAGCATCTGGCACCAGCAAGAATAATAGAGGGCGGAAGGGTCCTACTATCAAAGGTGATTTTTACAACTCGAAGGGGCTGACGGCAATGACCACGAGGGGATCGAGTAAATGTGTCCACCTGGAGGATAGAATGGCCTTGGGCTTCGAGGATATGTTTAATATCCTCATGGCAATCGTTGAGGTCCCAAACACCGTTTGCAACATGGTGCGGGAGGAGAACAGTGGCAACACTGGCATTTACCCGAGCGTTCTTGGAAACCCGAACAGGGGTCTCTCCAATGCAGGACAAAGCGGCTAAGCTAGTAGCTGCATCCTGAGAAGGAGCAGCGACGACACGCGTACTGTAACTGGTGGAGTTCAAAGTAACAGAGACATCCACTGAAATCAACAAGGTGTTTATGGAGGGAGAAATCATCAGGAGTAGAATCCAGATGGTGGAGATCAAAGTATTTAGCCCAAGTTGCGGGACCAAACAAGGCGTTGTAAGTAGTATTACAGGAAGGGATCGTGCGAGTGCGGCCGTGGCAGGAACGGCGTTGAGAACCCCCGGAGTTCATGGGGGTAAAAGGCGCAGTAGTCACAATGAGAGACGGAGCTGTGCCAGGCGACGAGGTGGTCACCACTGCGGGGCTGGGGACTCGACCCTACCTCAGAGGAGGGAGGGGAGCAGAGGAGAGTAGTCAGGTCGTCGGGGCCCAATGCAGCAGAGGCTACAGGGCTTGGTCTTCCAACACAGTCCGACTGACTCAGGGGGGGGGGGGCTTGGTCGCCCACCCGACGAGCCTGAGAAAATACAAGGGAATCATTATCAGCCATGAAAACGAGGAAAAACTTTCATTCACGAATGTGCCCCCACACCCACCATGGAGCCACAATTAGAGGCAGGACACCCAACAAGAAGCAATCGCCGCCGGGGGTCCCCAGGGGTGCGTCGTGAGTATACGCCCCACAAACGCCACCTTAAGAACCGTGAGTCTGTCGAGAGCGGGTTCAGTGACGAAAGGAAGATTGACAATAAAAGGGTCCCCTTGCTCGAAACGTTGGGTACTACAGTTGTACAGGTGCAAGAGTATGCCTCCTCAAACACCCGAGTGTCAAAACAAAAGAAGGTCGAAAGAATAATCAAAACAGGCAAAAGGTCGGCAGGAAATGACAATTTGATAGAAGAGGGGGGAGAAAAATGAAACACGAGTAAAAGGAAAAGGGGCCTGGCAAAATTGGTAAAGGCAGCAGCAGGAGCATAAGGCTGCAAAAGGACAGAGGACTGACCTACGGAGCATCACACTCCGGCAGCTGCCCACCAAGCCCTCTCACGGCGACAAAGAGCCAGACAGTGAGGGGGGTCGGAAATAATAGCACGGAGAGTAAAGAGGCGCCAGTCAGCCTCGGCAAACCGCCACCTAGGGAAGGAGAGAGGAGGGTGAAAAGAGAAAAAAGTAACAAGGATAGGAAAATGGTCACTGCCATGGAGGTCATCAAGGACCCGCCACCTGAAATCTAAGGAAAGGGATGACGAGCACAGAGAAAGATCGAGACAAGAAAGGGAGTGAGTCCCAGTGTCCAAATGAGTGGGCTCACTAGAATTAAGAAGGGACAGGGAAGAAGAGAGTATGAAAGGTTCAAGGAGGCGACCCCGGGTATTTGTCAGCACATCACCCCAAAGGGCATGACGACAATTGAAATCACCCAGCAGGAGCACAGGCTCCGGCAAGGAGTCTAGGTGGTGTTTAAGATCGGGAAGAGAAAGTGGGACAGTGGGGGAGAGATAAATGGAACAAACCGTGTACCATCTACGCACAAAGACATGAGCAGCAGAACAGGGAAGAGGCGAGGAAAAAAGTAAGGGGGCAAAGGGAACATCCGAGCAAATCAAGAGAGCAGAAGAATTATGGACCCCAGCTGTTGGGAGGGAAGAGAAAAGAATAGCCACGGAAGCGACTATGACGAGCACCAAGCATCGGCTCCTGCAGACAGACACAAAGGGGCGAAAACTGTGAAATTAGAAGTTGGAGGTCAAGGAAATTGGCGAATTAGAAGTTGGAGGTCAAGGAAACATCCACGGATGTTCCATTGAAGAATAGACATCGACAAAGAGAGAGAGGAGAGCAACAGAGAGCAAAAAAAAAGGTGAAAAAGGAACACAGCACGTTAAAGAAGCACAGGGTCAGGATCAGGGTCAGCAAAGTCAGGGTAAGGGGGCATGGGTAAACTGAGTAAAGGAGGGAAAGAAGCGGGAGGACAGACCAGAAGTGGACGAGCAGGATCTGGAGGAGGAGGGGCAGAAAGAGGGGAGCACACCTCAGCAAGGGCAGTAACCGAGATGGAACCGGGGGTTAAAGAAACCCCCACAGTAGGAACGGGGGGACCACCACCGAAGCAGGAGGGGAAGGAACAATAGAATCAGAGATAGGGGGCGAAGAAGAAAGCGAAGCCTTCCTACCTACCGGGGAGGTGGAAGGAGAGGAGCCAGGTTTCCACTTCTGACTCGATGAGACAGGCGTCCCAGCAGCAATGTACTGGGCAACAGACTCCAGCGTCTCGATAGAAGAAGAGAGCGAACAACACGACCACCAGGAGAGCGATGGACATCGGCCTGCACAGTCAGGCGGCATGGAGAGCCAAGAGACGGAGGAGAATGACGGAAAGGAGGACCAGAGGGAGAGGAGAAAGAAGACACAGATGACATGACAGACTGGATAGAAAGAAGGGGAACCCTAGACAGAGAACCAGGAGGGGGACCCTTCGGGACAGAACAGAGGGAAACAGGGGAGGTGGTGGTGGGCGTGTCCGGGTCTAAGGCTTGGAAACGGTTGTGAGACTGAGGAAGGTGGGAAAGACGAGGAGAGGAAGAGCACACCATGCGAGCATAGGAGACGCCAGCGAAAGAGGGGAGACGATGAACTTGGCGCCAAGCCTCAGGAAAAGAAACGGTCCCGGTGCTTCAAGTCGAGTACAGCCGCCTCAAGTTTGTAACGTATACACGCCTGGGAGAAGGTAGGGTGGACCTCACCGCAATTGAGGCAGCGGGCCTGGGGAGAAGCGTACTCCAACTTAAGAGTGACCCTCGCCTCCACACAAGGGACAGAGACAGGACTAGAGCATTTGAGAGCACCATGCCCAAACCTTGAGCACCTATTTGCAGAGCCGAGGAGATGGAATATACTCCTGAATGGAGCATCTGGCACCAGCAAGTATGACAGAGGGCGGAAAGGTCCTACCATCAAAGGTAACCTTCACAACCCGAAGGGGCAGACGGCAATGACCACGGGGGAAGGGGGCGAGTAAACGTATCCACCTGGAGGACAGAATGACCCTGGGCCTCGAGGATATGCTTGATATCCTCGTGGCAGTCCTTTTTGAACACCGGTTGTAACATGGTGCGGGAGGAGAACAGTGCCAACACTGGCATTCAACCGAGCGTTCTTTGAGACCCGAACTGGGGTCTCGCCAAGGCAGGATAGGGCAGCCAAGCGGGTGGCTGCATCCTGAGAAAGAGCAGCAGCGACACGGGTACCAAGACGGGTGGGGTTGAAGGTAACAGAGGCATCCACGGAATCGACAAGATGCCTATGAAGGGAAAAATCGTCAGGCGGAGTTGAATCTAAAGGATGGAGGTCAAAGTAGCAGTTTGGTCCACGTAGCAGGATCAAACAAAGCATGGAACGAATTAGTATGGGAAGGGAGCATACGAGAGAGGCCGTGGCGGGGACGGGGGTTAGAACCTCTAGAGAGACGGGTCAAAAGGCGCAGTAGTCACAATAAGAGATAGAGCCGTGCAAGGGAGGATGGGTCGGTCACCACAGCAGGCTTGGGGCTCGACCCAACCACAGAGGAGGGAGGGGAGCAGGGAGGAAGAGTCCGGTCTGGACCTAAACCGAGTCCTGTAGTGGGGGCTACAGATCCCGGTCCTCCAGGATGGTCCGACTCAGGGACCTGGTCGCCCACCCCATGAGCCTGAGTAAGAGAAGTAGAGTCGTTATCCATGCAGCAAACCAATATCCAAAGAATGGGACCTGGAACCAAGGGATACTACCTACCAGGGCAGCCAGGGAGGCCGAGCACGGGCCAGTGCAGGAAGGGTGCATCGTCCCCAGCGGTGCTCCCCCTTTTCAACAGGGGAGTCCTACTACATCGTCCATTCTCCCACACTGGTGCTAAGACCCCATTCCCCCTATTGCCCCAGCCTGGACACCCAACCATCCACTCAGGGCGGCCTCTCACAGGCGACCCCTCCAGCGGGTAGTCTGATGAGTCACAAGGCCCTTACATGGTGCCCTTCAGCACGTACACCACCCAAAGAGGGGGCAGGAGAGGGGGCAAAGGCAACCCTCACTGGTCCCAGGGAGGTGTACGCGAGCCCCTCACCACGGCAAGGAGGTACCACGGAGGGGTTATAGGCATAAGAAATTGGTAATAGATAATAGGGATATAACTTTTATAAAGAACATACAAATATTTAATCAAAAATATTTATTAACACTATCTTGAAAACTTCATAAACACTAAATTAATTTTACATTATTTACAAGTTCATACATTATTCTTCTGCTGACTAATATTGTCATTAATGCTCCACACAATTGGGACAAGTTGGAACAACAAATACTCATTTATGGCATATTGTACAAATGCTCCACATTGTCTTATCTTCATCTCTCTGCCTTAATTTTATAATTTTAAGGTATATTCTCTTGCCATGCCTGTTCATCTTGCCCTTTAGCTCTTCCCTTCGCCCTACACTGCTTCTCTCCCTACAACTCTTACCCATTGCCTTATGCCTCCTCTTCTAGTACTACACTTCATCATTTTACACATTCCCAGCATGAGTTTTATGCCTAAGAATAGATTAGTCATGTAAATTCTTCACCCTGGATCACGTCCCTCAAATATACTAAGAGTACTTCTTTGGCAAAAACTATATGCAATTGGTTTGAGAGAATTTCTTGACCAACTTAGGTGATCTTTAGAAATATCCCCTATTACATAATGGAATATTGGGCATACTGTATACACTATATAAAATGTTGGTAGAGTACTACAAATTGTATATTGTATGCCAGCCTGCCTCAGAGAAATCTATACAGTATACAGTATTTCAAAACTGTACTTAATGATTATCTAAAAGTGTAACATCTTTACAGAATCATCCGATACATTTTAAGTTACTGCACTCTCTTCCAAAATGCCAAGTTGTCTTGGATCTGGCATTCTGCGAAAAACAGCCAGGAACTTGTCTCCACTATTGCGGGACACCTTCTGACCCTCTTCGGTGCTCTCATATAGGTACTGTACCACTGGATCGTCAGCCTTCATATGAAAAAGTAGCGCAAGTTAAACATTAAATAACATGTACAAGACACAAAAAATCTGAACAATTAAATAATTGTATAATATTCACACAATTTAACACTTAGTTCTATGCCAATAAAATATATACATGTATGTATCTGCAGGCTGACTTATGAAAATTCCCTTCATAAAGAATACATGTGGCATAAAAACTGCCAAAAATTAGGTTTCAGAAATTGAGAGCTTGGGCATGAAATGAGATAAAGTCACATATAGCATGTGACAGTTCACCCAAAAGTAACAGCATTCTAACATTTAGGCCAAAAACAGAGGAGTGCACGGTCAAACAAATCCAGGTATGGGAGAGGTTCTCCCCTATGTGACCACTGTACCTTGAGACGGAATACAATTGTGAGAATTGTGGAATTCACACTGCCTTGAGTGTGAAAATGGTTGTGCATGAGAATGTTGCATGTTGTGCAATGGAGTGTAGTTGAACCTCGAATAACTAATTTAATCCGTTCCGGTGCCGTGATCATCATGTGAAATGGATGTCATAAAACGAATGTCCCCATTAACAATAATGGAAATCAAATTAATCCGTTCTACCACCAAAAAACATCAATATGATATTCGATGTTTTAAATAATGGAGCAGCCTACCTTACATACACTGAACAAACCTTTATGACATTTTTCTTTCTTCAAATTTGTTCAATATTTTTTTTCATTTGTCTTATAGCTAAAGGTTCGTTCAGTGTTCGGGAGGTAGGCTGCTCCACGATTCTTAAATAAAAAAACAAAAAATGGTTTAAACAATTTGAAAAATGGACAAATGCCATAAAGGTTCGTTCAGAGTTTGTCGGGTAGGCTGCTCCATTATAGCAATCTTTCTTTGTTTCATGTGTTCCATTTGTTTTGTATTTTTCATTTACGTCTCAATAATTGAGCAGCCTACCCTATGGAGCAGCCAACCCGTGGGAAAACCCACAGGTTTTCCAGGGTCTGTAGGGGAAATAAGCTCTGCAGGAAGTCCAGGCACTGGGACCAGCTGGCAATGCAGGCAAACCAACCACGAGCAGCCACTGTAAAGCCACAGGGGCAACAAAGGAGTGCCACCACCACTACATCCAAGGCATAGCCTAATAAGGAGCCAGGCAGAACTATGTGAAACCTGGGAAAAAACGGCAAACAAAAAGAGAAAATGCAAGAAAATCCTCCATAACTCCACAACAGCCAAATAAGCAATCAGAGAGAAATGTCAGACGTCGCATGAAGCAGGCTGTGCCAGCTGCAGTGTGCCCCTCCAGCAAACACTCCCCATACCTGTGGCAAAGCACAAACCTCAAGACCCAGAACGCACCCATAGCACTCATTGACCATTAGCTATGTCTGTGCATGGGACCGTCCATGAAAGAAAATTCGAGAAAACCCAGGGGCCAATGACCAGCTTTTTAATCCCCTTTAACATGCCTGTGCAGGGTCACTGAGCTAACGAAATTTTGGGATGACTGGAGGCAGCCGTTTAATCCCCTTGAGCGAAAATGGCAGGGGCCAATGACCGGCCATGAAAATTATTTCGAGAAAACCCAGGGACCATAGACCGTGCTTGGGAAAATAGTCGAGAAAACCCAGGGGCCATAGACCGTGCTTGGGAAAATATTTGAGAAAAGCCCAGGGCCATAGACCGTGCAGAAATATGGATACCCCCCTGCGCCTATGCCCGTCCCCCCAAAAAATCAAAACGGCCGGGCATAGGGGCCTTTCCTACTACTACTAAACAACTTGTTTTGTTTACTACTACTACTTGTTTTCCTTGACAAGGGTCAAGGAAAACCACAAGCAATGAAGTACTTTAATGGGGAGCAATTCCTGAATGCCAAAGGGCAACCCTGACCAGACAAGAGCAGTACTCACAGAGCATCTAGGGAAGGTGTCCCTAGATGCATGCAGCTCTGGCCCAAAGGGCAGGTAACCCTGACCACACAAGAGCAGTACTCACAGAGCACCTAGGGAAGGTGTCCCTAGATGTATGCAGCTCTGGCCCAAAGGGCAGGTAACCCTGACCACACAAGAGCAGTACTCACAGAGCACCTAGGGAAGGTGTCCCTAGATGCATGCAGCTCTGGCTCAAAGGGCAGGTAACCCTGACCACACAAGAGCAGTACTCACAGAGCACCTAGGGTAGGTGTCCCTAGATGCATGCAGCTCTGGCATCCAGGACACACCACAAGTGCAAGAACAGCTGAACAAGGCAAAATCCCAGAACAGGAAACTGTGTCCTAAGGTGATGTCCAACTGCCAGCACTTCAGTCAAGAACTGGAGGATGGGTAGCCCGTGTGAAAAATTTCCACCAAAATTATAGGTGGAACATGTGAGTAACAGTTACTCAGGAGAGAGAAAGAGGGGAAGGAAAGAGTGTATACCAGAGCCTAATGAAACATAATACCTATAGATTACCCTAGAAATGATAATTAATACTCACCAAATTATCCTCATCCACACGATTAAATAAAGGATGTTCTGTAAAATGGTGAACCATCCACTCGTGAAGATCCTTCACATCCGTCACAGTGTACACAAGGCCCTAAAACAGTAATCAGGTTGGATTAAAGCAAATTTTTCAACCTTTCCATATAAATGCCATTATATTATATACTAGCTGTACCTGGCACGCGTTGCTGTGGCTCTGCAACCTTCCCTGTCCTCCAGTCCTCCCAACCATTTCTTCCTCACCCGTCTCCTCCGCCTCTCAACCATTCCCCACTCCATCCCCTCTTCCTTCCCACCATTCTCCACTCCCCTGTCCCTTTGTCCTCCCCACCATTCTCCATTCTCTCATCCCCTCATCCCCACCATCCCAAACTCCCCCGTCCCCTCATCCTTCCCCACCATTACCCCTGCCTTGTCCCCTTGTTCTCCCCCACCATCTCTCACTTATGTCCCCTCGTCCTCCCCACCATTCCCCACTCCCTCGTCCGATGCCTTCCCAAATGGTCTGATGGTCCCATCAGAAAATTGGGAACATCAAGTGATCTGATGTTCCCATCACTGAAATATAAGAAAAACAGTTAAAAAAGAAATGAAAATATGAAAAAGTAAAAATATACACTATACTCACGAAATGAACGGTGTGGTAAATAACACAGCTCAATTCCAACGCAATTCACACAAAATAATTAAATCAAAATGAAAATGAATCCAATCTATGAAAATTCAATTCATCAATGCAATCAGAAATAGTGAAATGGAATTGTAACATATTTAGTATAGCATGTGTGTTGCTCTTACATGCAACAGATGGCGCTGTTTTTCAAGAAAAGCATAGATTTACCTGTCACAGGTGTGGCATCTATATTTATACTTATGAAATGAACAGCATGGTAAACAACAAAGCTCAATTCCAACACAATGTCACACAATAATTAAATAAAAAATTAAATAAATCAAAATCTATGACAATAAAATTTATCAATGCAATCGGAAACATTGAAATGGAATTCGTGACATATTTGGTATGGTGTGCATACTAAACACTATGCACTAACACTAAAAACACTAAACACTGTTGCACTATTATGTGCAACAGATGGCACAGTTTTTCAAAAACACATGTTTTACCTGTCACAGGGGTGGCATCAATATAGTAGGTATATAAAAAGACAGGCCTATTCGAATGCAACGTTGTGTGAAAATTTCAAAGCAATTGGTGAAGAACTTTCGGAGATTAGCGATTATAAACAAACGAACATTTCCATTTTTATTTATATAGATATACTGTATATTATGTCATTATATTATATATATATAATCTTTAAATATGTTAGATATCAAGTCACTGCACATTCTCAAGTGTACTCTATATATTTAAAACTAAACAGTAATGCCAATCCTGACCTTAAATGCTTCCTTGAGGGTTGTAACGACTCACGGGCACCACATCAGAAACAAATACCTATACTATTTCATAGTCCAAGAGTGCGAGTTAACCAAAATAGAAATGCTATGCAAATCAAGGGTCCCAAAATGTGTTATGACTTTCCCAATCACATTAAAGACTGCCCATCTCAACCAGTTTAAGAGAAAAACTAAGTACTACCCAATCAACTCCATGTAAACTACCTTACCTCCTAAATGTCAACCTATATCTTGTTATTATCAGACATCATTGATTTATGACTAACTTGTAAAACCCCTGATATCTGCCATACCTAAACAAAAGAAAACTTTAGTGCATCTGTTTGTTTACTCAAAATTAACATCTGCTCCTCTGTTGCAATTGCTGCTGTTAATTCAACATTTAATTATTGTAATTCTTTATTCTACTTCAGTTTAATTCATGCTTTTGATCTCAAGTTAGTCTTATTCCTAGTTTTTAAGTGTTTTACCTATATCTTGCACAAAACCCTGTGTGTATTAGTGGCTTTAGGCATAGTATGTACTAGCTCTATCTACAAATCCAACATTCTGCTTGTAACCCATTTTGTATGTACAGTGGTACCTTTGTTTTCAAATTTAATCCGTTCCCATAGACAGTTCAAAAACCGAAAGTTAGAAAACCGAAACAAATTTTCCCATAAGAAATAATGTAAATTGAATTAATCCATTCAACACCCCCAAAAACATTTACTTAAAAATACATTTCATATATATTACTACTAATATTTTGTACTACAGTATGTACAAGTATATCTTACCTTTATTGACAACTCTTGTTGTTATATGGAAAACAGTGAGGAAGGGGACAGGAGGAGAGGTGTTAATGTTCAGAAAGGGAGTCCCCTTCCATTATAACAGCAGTGATGACATTACTGGGATACTCTCTCCCCTATGTTTTGCAGGCATACCACTAGGACCTGGTTGTGGCTCATTGCTTGCCTGTCTTACGAAGAATTTGCCTATCGACACTTGTTTTTTTCCCTATATTTTAACATTTATCTGTAGCGAGACATCACATTGTCTCACTAGGAATGATCTCTTGTATTTTCTCTATCATCATCCTTACAACTATTTTCTTCGGTTGAACTTTACCACTGACTATCTTGGAACCCATGGCATGACATAACTTATGTTCAGAATCCAACTAAGCATAAAAACAATGAAATTCTTCACAAAGAATTCAAGCGCGGTCATCACTAAGCGGGAGACACTGGTAAACTGAAGCGTGCCACATGTTCGGTCAGCCCACACATGTATCAACAAATTGAAGCACCGAGGCAAACCTCGAATAACGAGTCAAATTTTTAGAAGAAATTGAACTTGAGAAACGAAAAATTTGAAAAGAGGGGCATTCGAAAACAGAGGTTCGACTGTATGTACTTTTACCTCAATAAAAATTTATTTACCAGTACTTACTTATAGTATTTTATTTTATTAACGTTTCCTTTGTTCTGTACGAATCCTTTGCATTGCAGAGTTTGACAGTTTTGAAGCTTAGGTCTTTGTTATCCCTCCAGTTATCTGTAATGTTTCACTGACTTTCTGGAAGCTTTTCCTGCGTGGTGACAATTTGTCACTTGCCTCTACGAGGGAAGGCCAAGTTTTGGCTCTGGTCCCCAGTAGGCCAAACGTCTCATGTGACCCATCTGCATGAAGCAACCTTACCGAGATAGTTTCAGGAAGCCACTGGGCCTCCCCCAAAAAACACAAGTGAACAAATGATACAATTATAAACAGTTCAAATATCCATAAACTTACCCCTTCACGCAGAACATAACCATATTCTGCCAAGAGAGATGAATTGATAATTCTCCATTTGTGCTTGGCTCTTTTGAAGTGTGGATCAGGAAACAGGAAGAACATTTTACTTAACTGGAAAAGGCAAAATATTTTTCTTTAAGAGCATTCAATGCAATTAAGTTCAAAACAATAGTTATGAATGAATGCATGAATTCACGAACATTAATTATTCAAACAAGACAGTGAATTATTGTGGGGCAGGCACCCATGCTCCCTAGCAATGGTAGAAAGTTAGGAAACTTTCTTGGTGGATACAGGAAGAGGAGAGAGTGGAGTTGGGAGTGCAACACATGCAAGGTGGTGATGGTGGAGGAGGACTCTGGATGATAGTGAGGGAGGTGTGTGTGGAGTTGGGAGTGCAGCACATGCAAGGAGGTGATGGTGGAGGAGGACTCTGGATGATAGTGAGGGAGGTGTGTGTGTGTAGTTGGGAGTGCAGCACATGAAAGGTGGTGATGGTGGAGGAGGACTCTGGATGATAGTGAGGGAGGTGTGTGTGTGTAGTTGGGAGTGCAGCACATGAAAGGTGGTGATGGTGGAGGAGGACTCTGGATGATAGTAAGGGAGGTGAGTGTGGAGTTGGGAGTGCAGCACATGAAAGGTGGTGATGGTGGAGGAGGACTCTGGATGATAGTGAGGGAGGTGTGTGTGTGTAGTTGGGAGTATAGCACATGAAAGGTGGTGATGGTGGAGGACTCTGGATGATAGTGAGGGAGGTGAGTGTGGAGTTGGGAGTGCAGCACATGCAAGGTGGTGATGGTGGAGGACTGGATGATAGTGAGGGAGGTGTGTGTGTGTAGTTGGGAGTGCAGCACATGCAAGGTGGTGATGGTGGAGGACTCTGGATGATAGTGAGGGAGGTGTGTGTAATTACCTAAGTGTAGTTACAGGATGAGAGCTACGCTCGTGGTGTCCCATCTTCCCAGTACTCTATCATATAACGCTTTGAAATTACTGACGGTTTTGGCCTCCACCACCTTCTCACCTAACTTGTTCCAATCATCTACCACTGTTTACAAAAGTGAATTTTCTCATATTTCTCCGGCAGCTTTGTTTCGTTAGTTTAAATCTATGACCTCTTGTTCTTGAAGTTCCGGGTCTTAGGAATTCTTCCCTATCAATTTTAAAGATTCCTGTTACTATTTTGAACGTAGTGATCATATCACCTCTTTCTTCTATCTTCTAGTTTTTGCATATTTAATGCCTCTAACTTCTCTTTGTAGCTCTTGTCCTTCAGTTCTGGGAGCCACTTAATGGCATGTCGTTGCACCTTTTCCAGTTTGTTGATGTGCTTCTTAAGATATGGGCACCATACAACCGCTGCATATTCCAGCTTAGGTCTAACAAAAGTTGTAAACAATTTCTTTAGTATTTCTCCATCCATGTATTTAAAACCAATTCTGAAGTTAGAAAGTGTAGCATAGGCTCCTCGCACAATGTTCTTAATGTGGTCCGTAGGTGACAGTTTTCGATCTAGAACCACCCCTAGATCCCTTTCTTTGTCTGAATTCTTTAAAGATTTCTCACATAATTTATAGGTTGTGTGGGGTCTATGTTATCCATTTCCACATTTCATAACATAGCATTTATTCACATTAAATTCCATTTGCCAAGTGTTGCTCCATATACTTATTTTGTCCAGGTCTTCTTGCAGGGCATGACAATCATCTAGGTTTCTTATCTTCCCTATTATCTTAGCATTATCAGCAAACATGTTCATGTAATTCTGTACTCCCACTGGTAGATCGTTTATGTAGACAATGAACATTACCGGTGCAAGAACTGAACCCTGTGGTACTCCACTCGTGACATTCCTCCAATCCGATACCTTGCCTCTGATTACGGCCCTCATTTTTCTGTCGGGAAATTTTTCATCCATGTTAGAAGCTTACCTTTACCCGTCACCCCTCCAATATGTTCCAGTTTCCAGAACAACCTCTTATGGGGAACCCTGTCGAAAGCCTTTTTTAGGTCCAGATAGATGCAGTCAACCCAACCATCTCTTTCCTGTAAAATCTCTGTGGCTCGATCATAAAACTGAGTAAGTTCGTTACACAGGATTTTCCAGATCAAAAACCATACTGTGTCTGATATATAGTTTTTTTCCAGGTGTTCTACCCATTTAGTTTTAATAATTTTTTCCAATATTTTGACTATTACACTTGTTAATGATACAGGTCTATAATTAAGGGGGTCTTACCTGCTTCCACTTTTGTAGATTGGAACTATGTTAGCCTTTTTCCACGCATCAGCTACAACTCCTGTAAACTGGGATGCCTGAAAAATCAGTTGAAGTGGAATGCTGAGCTCAGGTGCACATTCTTTCAGAACCCATGGTGAAACTCCATCTGGATCAACTGCTTTGTTCTTACTTAGCTCCTTGAGCTAAGTAAGAAGTTAGCTCCACTTCTGGTTCCCTGAAGATTTCATTTTGTACAAACACACTTCGGAGCTTTTCGTTTAATGTTTCACACATTTCATTTTCATTTTCCGTAAATCCATTTCCCATTTTCAACCTCTGAATATTATCCTTTACCTGCAATTTGTTGTTTATGAATTAATAGAACAGACCTGGTTCTGTTTTACATTTGTCTGCAATCCCCTTTTCAAAATTTCTTTCTGCCTCTCTCCTCACTGTCGTGTAGTTGTTTCTCGCATCTTTGTATCGCTGGTATGTTTGGGGGTTTGGCCTCTTCCTGTATTGATTCCATTTTTTGTGTCTTTTGGTCTCTGGCCCTCTCGCACTTTCTGTTGAACCAATCCTGTTTCCTAGTTCTGCATCTCTGTTTTGGTATAAATTTTTGTTGTGCCTTTATCATATATTTCACAAAACTTCAACATACATCTCATTCACTTCCTTCCCTAGCAACAAGTCTGTCCAATTATACTCACTAAAAAAATTTCTAAGGTGGCCATAATGTCCTCTCCTTAAGTCAGGTTTTTCAACTGCTTCAACCTCCTTATTTTCATCCAGATTATAACGCATTGCATACTTTATTCCTAAAAAGACATGGCCACTTTTGCCCAAGGGAGGAAGGTACTGAATGTCAAATATCTCTTCCCCCTTCCTGGTAAATATCAAATCTTGCATGGAGGGAACATCCCCTTCCCTCATCCTTGTAGCTTGTTTAACATGTTGATACAAGAATGTTTCCAGGATGAGGTCTACAAATCTACAGGTTCAAAAATCTTCTGTTTCAGCTTCATATGCTTCCCAGCCTATGGATTTCAAGTTGAAGTCGCCGACTATCAACAGTCGTGATCTATCCGCTCGCTATAATCTCTCATTATTGTTATAAGACCTTCTCGTTTACTATCTAGCTCCTCCTTTGACCATGTGTTGCTTGGCAGTGGACTATATGCATTTATGATCATTACTTTATCATCCTCATGGCAGATCTCTAGTGCTATTATCTATAGCTAGGTTTGTGTAGTTGGGAGTGCAGCACATGCATGGTGGTGATGGTGGAGGTGGAGTTCATAGTGCAGAACATGGAAAGCTCAAAAGCACTTTCGTAGGAAATGGAGATGAAAGTCCTGGCGGAGGAGACTTAAAATATCAATGGAACAGTTTACTGTCTCAGTTAGTGTAAGTAAATACATGTGAAGTTAGACAAATACAAATTTGCACAAGAGTGAAATTTAAAAAAATTTAAAATTGTCTCCAGTGTTATGAAACCTCCATTTCTGGGAGGATCTTGGTAGCTTCCCTAGCTTTAGGCACAGGCACTACAGGGGCCATAACCACATACAAGAGCCATTTCACACTGACTTGGTCCCTACAAAGGATTAATAAAGGATTAATTAAGCGAGAACAAAAGGTCAATCCAATACAGAGGCGAATTGCCCTTAAAATTAAAAACTTACAGTATAAAACCTCCAAAATGTCCTTTGAGAATGTTTTGTAATTAGCTAACTACCATACAATGCTCTGAAAACAGTTAAAACACCTCTAAGGTTCACCCAGAAAGGAGCATTACATTACATTACATTAACACTTTTGCCTGGGTAAGCCACCTTAGTTGCTACCCAAACTTTTTTGTTATGTTACTTCACCGAACAACAATATATTTTGTACAACAATAAGTCATCCAAACTAGAAACAAGATTCCATCATAGAAAATAGGTAAAACAAAATTATCACAGGAAGGCACACCACAGACTTAGCCATAAAGTGGAAAGAGGGTGAAGTACACGAGAAAAGAAAAGTCTCCAACTAAGAAGATTGACAGACATCCAGGGTCTGAGACAAGGGACGATTGAACGTCTTACAGGGACGTTAGAAAGAACTTTTTCAGTGTCAGTAGTTAACAGATGGAATGCATTAGGCAGTGATGTGGTGGAGGCTGACTCCATAAACAGTTTCAAATGTAGGTATGATAGAGCCCAATAAGCTCAAGAATCTGTACACCAAATATTGGAGTCGAAGGATAAAATTCAGCTCAGTCCCAGATATTGTCACATTAACAGAGACAAAACTTGAAGAAAATATATAAATGAGGTATTCCCAAGGGGCTACTCAGTTTGGAGACGTGACAGGACAACTAGGAAGGGGGAAGGAGTGGCTGTGCTGGTGAAAGAACACCTGAAGGTAAGAGTTAGTTAAAAACCCTAGAGATATTGACATAATGGCATTGCAGGTTTGGAATCAAGAAAAGATGATAATTTTAAATGCTTACAGCCCGCCAGCAAGCAACACATGGACAAAGGAAGAACTGGATGACAAACGAGAGAGCCTCATAATGGTCATGAGAGATTATGATAAGAGCTGACGAAGATAAATCCCGATTGTTGGTACTGGGGGACTTAAACTTTAAGGCAATAGACTGGGAGGCCTACGAGACAAGAACAGAGGACGTTTGGACAGGCAGATTTGTAAACCTCATCTTGGAGACATTCATGTATCAACACGTCAAGCAGTCCACAAGAATGAGAGAAGTGGATGTTCCATCAGTACTGGATCTAATATTCATCAGGAAGGAAAAGGTATTTGACATCCAGTACCTTACTCCCTTGGGAAAGAGTGATCACGCCCTCTTGGACATTAAATACGCGATGTGATATAATCAGGTAGAGAATGGGTACATTGAAACAATTTTCAAACTATTTCAGGAGAGGAAGTTATGGGGGGAACTTAGAAATTTTTTTCATTTGTGACAGACTTGTTGCTATGCAAGGAAGTAAATGAGATGTATGCCATATTTTGCAAAATATACGATGAAGGCACACAAACATTCATACCAAAACAGATGCAGACATAGGAAACAGGGTTGGTTCAACAGAAATTGCGAGAGGGCCAGAGATCAAAAGACATATGCATGGAATTACATGAAGAGGCCAAACCCCCAAACATACCAACGATACAAAGATGTGAGAAACAACTACACGTCAGTAAGGAAAGAGGCAGAAAGGAATTTTGAGAACGGTATAGTAGACAAATGTAAATCAGATCCAGGCCTTTTCAATAAATTCATTAAAAGCAAGCTGCAGGTAAAGGATAATATTCAGAGGTTGACAATGGGGGACAAATACACGGAAAATGAAAATGAAATGTGTGAAACATTAAATATTTAAAGTTCCAAAGTGTGTGCGCAAAATGAGATCTTCAGGGAACCAGACAATAAGAATTCCAGAAAACAGAGCACATAGAGGTGTCTAGAGACAAAGTGAAACAAATGCTCTTGGAGCTAAGTAAGAAAGCAGTTGGCCCAGATGGAGTTTCACCATGGGTTCTGATAGCATGTACACCCGAGCTCAGCGTACCACTTCAGCTGATTGTTCAGACTTCCCTGTGTAAAGAGTCGTAACAGATGTGTGGAAAAAAGCTAACATAGTTCCAATCTACAAAAGTGGCAGCAGGGAAGACCCCCTCAATTATAGACCTGTATCAAAATATTGAAACATCAAAATAGTCAAAATATTGGAAAACATAATTAAAACTAAATGGGTAGAACACCTGGAGAGAAACGATATAATATCTAACAGATCATATTGCTTTCGAACTGGTAGATCCTGTGTATCAAATTTACTCGGTTTCTATGATCGAGCCACAGAGATTTTACAGGAAAGGGATGGTTGGGTTGACTGCATCTATCTGGACCTAAAAAAGGCTTCCAACAGAGTTCCACATAAGAAGGTTGTTCTGGAAACGAACACATTGGAGGGGGTGGCAGGTAAGCTGCTAACATGGATGAAAAATTTTCTGACCAATAGAAAAATGAGGGTAGTAATAAGAGGAAGTGTATCGGACTTGAGAAATGTCACAAGCGGAGTACCACAGGATTCAGTTCTTACACGTGATGTTTATTGTCTACAAACAAACCACCAGTTGAAATTCAGAATTATATGAACATGTTTGCTGATGATCAAGATAATAAGGATAAGTAAATTAGATTATTGTAATGCCCTTTAAAAAGACCTAGACAAAAGTATATGGAGCACCACTTCCCAAATGGAATTAATGTAAATAAATGCCATGTTATGAAATGTGGACTAGGATACACAGACCTCACACAACCTATAAATTTTGTGGAAAATCTTTTATAGACTTCTGATAAAGAAAGATCTAGGAGTGGTTCTAGATAGAAAACTATCACCAGAGGACCACAAAGAACGATGTGCGAGGAGCCTATGCCACACTTTCTAACTTCAGAATTGCTTTTAAATACAAGGATACATAAAAGGCAAAATACTAAAGAAATTGTTCACGACTTTTGTTAGACCTAAGCTGGAATATGCAGCAGTTGTATGGTGCCCATATCTTAAGAAGCACATCAACAAACTGAAAAATGTGCAAAGACATGCTACTAAGTGGCTCCCAGAACGAAGGGCAGGAGCTACAAGAAGAGGGTAAGAGGCATTAAATATGCCAAAACTAGAAGATGGAAGAATAAGAAATGTGATCACTACATACAAAATAGTAACAGGAATTGATGAAATTGATAGGGAAGATTTCCTGAGACCTGGAACTTCAAGAACAAGATGTTCTATATTTAAACTAACTAAACAAAGATGCCAAAGAAGTAAAAGAAAATTCACTTTTGCAAACAGAGTGGTAGACGGCTGGAACAAATTGGGTGAGGTGGTGGTGGAGGCCAAGACCGTCAGTAGTTTCAAAGCGTTATATGAGAGTGCTGGGAAGACGGGACACCACGAGCGTAGCTCTCATCCTGTAACTACACTTAGTTAAAAAAAACTACTAAATAAACTAGTAGTAGGCATCCTTCAGTCTCGGGAGACTATGGAGTTGCGCCATATGGACTTGACTATGGAGTTAGTTAAATAAACTAATAACTATAATAAAAAAATAACAATAAGGTAATTACCAGTTGATTGACAGTTGAGAGACGACCAAAAAGCCAGAGCCAAGCCCCCCGCAAGCACAACTAGGTGTTGCAAAGACAAGAAAATCCTGCCAAGGTAGCAAATATGAGAGGGGCCTGGAGCACTAGGAGAAAAAATAGGACAGAAAAGATAAAAGAAACCTAGAGCATTGTGCTAATGTGCAAGTCAACCAGACTCAAGGAAAGAGAAGGGTATAATTGTTCGAGACCAAAGGCTTACACAAAAAAACACAAAAGGCAGCCAACAGGTTAAACACACGACACTGGAACAGAGTGCAGATAATTCCACCCCTTAACTATGCAAATTTTCAATTAATGAAAAAAAAATCAACGTTGAATGTAATGAAACGCCATTTTCTGAGAGAGCCCCGGAGGCTTCCTGGAGCTAATTGCGTGATATATTAGACCAGGACATTAGTCTATGGAGTTCGACCTACCAGGGACGAGCCAGAACCTGGTCCCTTTGCAGGGGAGGTTGCATTTTCCAGAGCAATGGCTCTGGAAAACTTCCCTGTGGTTATGGGTTTTCCTTATCTGCCATCGACAAGGTTAGGCACCCAGAAAGGTAGGCCTAACAAAACAAATCCCACATGGTAAGAAAATAAATAAAAACAGAAGAGAGATGTCGAACTCCCTCCAATCCAAAGGAAAAGGGCAAACATGCAAAATTTTACACTCCTCTGCCGCACAGCTCGTCCGTGCAGCCTTCCCTCCCCGCACCGGCTACTCAGTCATCCAGTTCAGAAGTCAAGCATCAAACCACGCCAAAAAAAGCCGACCAGAGGGAGGGAGGCTTGCCAGGAAGCCTCCGGGGCTCGCCCAGAAAATGGCATTTCATCACATGATTATATTTCATTACCCAGGCAGGGTCCTGCTAACTGGCACCCAAGCTACCAAACAAGCTGCTAAAGCTGAACCCCAGGACGTGTACGATCACGGGTGCCTAGTGGAGGACCACCAAGATATAAATGCATGTGACCAAAACGAAGGGGCAGACCCTTCACCAAGCAGTAAAAAAAAATAAAAAATCTGCAAGAGGACAACATGCCCAGGCGGAACAGAGTTGGCTGCTATGAGAGGGAAAAACTAGCTGCACAGTACCCCCGAGCCCCAACTACCTTTCCCCCCTACCCAGAGCCAAACAGAGGGGCATGAAACACCCCAGCCGACCAAGGGTAGTCAAATCACCGAGCAACAAAAGACCTTGTGGAGGTAGAACCCAAGGTGACCTGTGGAAAGTGACCCAAAGGGCAGTACAGTACTTACAGATCACCTAAGGAAGGGAACCCTAGGTGCATGCAGCCCAAGTACTTGTAAAATTACTCCTGGCTTGTGCACCACCTAGTAGACAGGACCACACCGCAAGATGTGCCTTGACCCCCAAAACCCTCAGAAATTTTGGAGCCAGGAACATGGTGGGGGCGGGGCAAACAATGCCTAACCAAAATGGGGAATCAGGGTGGACAACCACCCTAGCGCGTTGCAGGAACCTAACCTAACACAGATGCCGCCTGTACCTGCACATCAATGTTTTCAGAATGGGTAACTGGAGAACATGCAGAGACTACAACTCGCAAGACTCTCGGTCAAGGGGGTCGGTGACCCAACAGGCAGCATGACAGGCAAAAACGGTGATGACTGGGTCACATGCACAGGAGGCTGCATCACGGGTGTGGCAGGCCGAGGCAATTGTACACTAGACTGGGTCACATGCACAGGATACTGTATCATGGGTGTGGCCGGCCGAGGCAATAGTACACTGGACTGGGTCACATGCACAGGATGCTGCATCATGGGTGTGGCAGGGCAGGGCACTATCCCAGAGATATGGTGCACTAGCTCCCCTTTAAAGATATGAAATAACAGTGCATATGGGGGAAAAGCAAGTTGATATGAAGCAAAACAGGAACATTTTCTTTCATGGTCACACACACACACTGCCCACATTTCCCTCCCAATTAATGAAGGTATACAAACAAAGGGATGTGTAAGTAAACAGACCAAGTCAATTTATAATAGTTCTTAATTTACACACACATTAAATGTAAACGTATATAAATGTAAAATTTATACTTAAACTAGCACCTCACCTGTCCTTTCTCAAAGAAATTTGGCAAGTACTTCATTGCATTAGTACGGATACAGGCTACATTTTGATATCCTCCAGGCACATCCTTCTTCTCATCTCTCAAGCCATGAATGCGGTCAACAACAAAGTCCGACACCTTCACGCGTATTTCCATTCCTAACATGAGTGTGTCCGGAAAAATCTGGGCAAGGGCAACTGAAAAAAAATAAGTAGACTTATAAGGCAACAAGCATAGCACATAATGTGTTTACCAGCAAATAACCTTTTTTTTTTATCTTTAAATGTATATAAAAAAACAGCGTTAAATGTAATGGAACGCCATTTTCTAGGCGAGACCCGGAGGCTTCCTGGAGCTATCGAGCTAATGTGTGGTGGTATAATGTGTGACGGGCATTAGTCTAAGGAGTTCAACCTACTGGGGACCACGAGTCAGAACCTGGCCCCCTCAGAGTGGATGCAGGGAGCAATGATCCTGGAAAACACCTGTGGTTCGTGGCGTTCCTTATTTGCCATCAACCGAGGATAGGCACCCAGAAAGGTTGGCATAACAAAAAACCCACATGGTAAGAAATTACAACTAAAAACCAAAAAGATATTTTTGGTTTTATCCAAAGGAAACCATTGAGATAATCCTTCCAATCCCAAGGAAACAAGCAAACGTCACACTCCACACCGCTCATTCCTGCAGCCCTCTCCTCCCTAAGAGCAGGAGGGAGGGAGCCCCGGACCTCCTCGTGCCTGCTACCCAGCATTCCAGTTCGGAACTAAGCTTCAAACAACGTGAAAAATCGCCGACCGTAGGAGGGAGGGTTGCCAAGGAGCCTCCAGGGCTCGCCCAGTAAATGGCAGAGGGGAGAGAGGAGGGGAGAGGAGGGGAGAGGAGGGGAGAGGAGGGGAGAGAGAGGAGAGAGAAAAGAGGGCACCCGGTCCAGAGACCAGGACGGCTCAGGGAGACGGGAGGAGAAACAACGCACGAGACAGCTTGCGGAACAAGGCAAAAGTAACGTCAATACTGAACGCAAGCTGGAGCGGCTCCACCAGCGCCGCACGATACTAGGCGACAGTATTCAGCTTAAGATGACTGTCCTGTAAAAACCACGAAAGGAAGGACAAGACAACCCAACCAGAGACCGAAGTACACCTAAGCAGTGATCGGAAAAACCAGAAGGACCACCAGGAAACTACATATTGCCGTCAAGACAAAACACGCAGGTGGGAGACCAACAACGAAGCCTCCTGTGCCCCATTCAAGTGATGATAGCCTTGTGTCAAACTCCAGACGTGAAGACTCGAGGAGAAGAAAAAACCAGCCTCATACCGGGCTGCAGCAATCTGCTGAAAGAGGCAGAGCCGCTTGAAGACCCTCGGGTTCGGATACCGAGCAAGCAGCGCCTGAAACCAAGGAGCCAGAAGGACAACTCTCCCCTGGTAAGTCTCCAAGCGAGACATGCACACAGCCGCGAACTCCCGCACCATGCTAAGAGTCAAATGGAAGGACGGACCCCCACCGTCCGTGGCCGGCCTGTTGAGTATTGGTCACAAAGCCCCAGCCAAGAGAAGACGCGTCCGTGAACACATCAAGCGAGGGCTTGGGTAGGCGCCAAGGCACTGAACCCCGAAAAACCGAAGAGGAAGTCGGCGATGTAGCAACCAACGCAACACAAAGTCCCCGGAGGCCAAACCCAGCTGTTGTGAGAGAGGTGGAAGGGACATCCCCTGAAGGAACCAGAACAGCCACAAAGCCACACCCTACCTGGCGGGTAGACCACCATGGCAAAGTTCGGGCTCCCGCACAAACCCCTGAGCAACTGCCGCGCGACCCGGGAGCCCCTCAGGAACAGACGAAGGTCGGAACACAGGTGAAGCAGCGCCGCCGGAGGAAAAGACAAGAAAGTGGTCTAAGCATCCCACACAAAACCCAGCCAAGACCGAACCCGAGAGGGAACCAGATGGGACTTTCACCAGTTCACCAAGAACCTAAACCCAGCGCGCTGGGAAAGAACCAAATCCTGGCAAGCAGACACACGGAATGGCTGGGAGCCCAAACCAGCCAGTCGTCGAGGAAGGCCAGAACCTAACACCTAACAGACGCAGGTGGGCCACCACAATGTGTGAAAACTCAAGAAGCCAGATTCAAACCGAGAGGAATGCAATGAAAGCGGTAACCCTGATGCCCACAACAGAACTGAGCAAGTCCCTGACCCTCTGACGAATCGGGACGTACCACTACGCGTCCTTGAGGTCCAGGGTCACCATCCAAGCCTCTGGCTCCAACAGAAGAGACAGACCTGGGACAGTAGTCATCCAAAAGGAAGGGCAATAAACCCACAGGTTCAGGCGTGGACAAGTCCAGAATGAATCTGAAGTTAGCACAGTCTCGTTTTGGGACCAGAAACAGGCAGGAAGCCCACTTAAGAGATAAGGTCGTTTTGACTACACCCAGGCAACCCTACTCCAAGATGACCCGACAGAGCACAGGAAAAAGAGGCCCATCCCACCATCCCCGAACCCCCTGAAGGAGGAGCCACCCAACACCACCGCAGGCTGCACAAAACAACCCAAAAGGCCCACAAATCGCGGGACCAGGCGAGAGCAAACAGAGCGAGCCTCCACCTCCCCGTCAATGGGACAAACCGCGAAAAGGCTGACGCATCTTACGAGCACCGAAGTGACACACAGGGTGATCCCCCCGCTGAGCAGCAACAGACAGCACTAAAGGCTGCGCCGGCGCCAAATCTGACACCCCAAACCCTGGCACAACCCTGCCAGGAAGCCCCCCCCCCCCTCCATGAGCCCCATAGAGGACTAACAAATATAGATAGGGGACAACCAACCAAAGGCAGACCCCCCCACCAGACAGGAAAACAAAAACTTAAGAAAAACCCCACAAGAGGACAACGTACCTAGGCGGAATAGAGCCAGCCGCTTTAATAGGTGAAAACTAGCTGTGCAGTATCCCGCGCCCCTACCAGTGATAACAAATACCTCTTACCAGAGGCAAACAAGGGCAACAAAAACCCAAGCTGACTCGAAGGGCGGCAAAGTACCAAACAGTAAACGACACAGCGGAGATAGATCCCAAGGTGACTTGTGGAAGGTGGCCCCAAGCCCCAAGGGCAGTACTTACCGGGCACCTAGGGAAGGAAACCCTAGGCGCATGCAGCTCAACGTACCGTAGGGAGCCTGACAGCTGAGTGGACAGCGCTTCATAATCTTAGTCCTAAGGTTCCGGGTTAGATCCCCAGTGGAGGCGGAGACAAGTGGGCAAAATGTTTCTTTCACCCTGATGCCCCTATTACCTAGCAGTAGATAGGTACCTGGGAGTTAGACAGCTGCTTCCTGGGGGAGTGTAGCAAAAAGAAGGCCTGGTCGAGGACCGGGCCACGGGGACGCTAAGCCCCGAAATCATCAAGATAACCATGATATAAAATATTATTCCTAGCTCACACACCACACCACAAGGCACAGAAACTGACACCAAAGCCAGAGGTACAAGACCTCGCCAGTAACACATCGGCCAAGAACTGGGGGTGTGGAACGTTGGAGCAAGGGTCTGGGGCTCCCCGTTCCCCCTGCCCTACCGAGGGGGGGGGGGGATTGCAGACAGTGGTGTGGCAACGTGATGTCATGCTAGTTTGCTAATTTTCATTTGGAGAGTTCTGTCCACCTGTTTAATTTTGGTAGCAATATCTTTACCAGAATTGGTTGTTTGTTTGGGGTGCCTACCTTTTTAGGTGCCTGACCCAGCCGATGGCAGACAGAATGCTCCTAACCACATGGGGGTTTCTATAGGCCATTGCTCCTCGTGCCTCTCTGAGGGGGCCAGGTTCTGGCTCGTGGTCCTCGGTAGGCACAAACTCCATGCACTTTGATGCCAGAAGGCTAATACATCCTAATCAGCCTGGATAGCTCTGGAGAGTCGACGGGGCTCCCCCCAGAAAAGTAGAAAAACAATTGAATTCTTTACAAAGAATTCAAGCGCAGTCGTCACTATGTGGGATACACTGGTAAACAACTGTGTGCGCCTCGTCCTGCGCCCAGCACCACGCGCTAGCTAGACCCATACACATATCAACAGATGTCGTATTCCAAGTAAAATGTCGTACACCAATTCAAATTTTACGATGAATTTGATGTCATAGACCAAAACATTTGTATCCTAGGGCAGTCGTACACCAAGGTGTACATTCATATCAGCTGAATAGCTCCAGGGAGGCTAAGGGGCACCCACACAGAAAATATTTGAAAGTTTTATTTTGCAAACAGAATGGTACATATATGGTTGGAACAAGTTAGGTGAGGTGGAGGCCAAACCCATCAGTAGTTTCAAAGCACTATTATAAGGAGCACTGGGAAGATGGGACACCATGAGCGCAGCTCTCATCCTGAAACTACACTTGGGTAATTACTTGGGTAATTCCCTAATACAGCCAGTCAAGGCCAGCCTAATACAACCTATATTTATTCATTCATTGCAGCCATATTTATACTGTCCTGAGTTCCATTCTAGTAAGAGAGTACTATATATCCTAAACACCATTTAATGCTATCAAACATAATACATTTTCCATTTTGACACATCATTTAAAGCAGTTTCAGTTTAGCTGACATCATTTTCACATCAAATTAAACAATTCTAAGAATTCTTTATTACAAGGCTGCAGTTAATATCTTAACTTAGTTTAAGCATCAGCTTGGATAAGAAATGAAAGATTTGGAAAAGATTGACAATAACAGTATAATTATAATTATATTTAATAAATAATTATATTTATAATGCATTTAGTTTCATTGGCATGCTATATTATAATACTGTAACCATGCAATTATCCAGGATTCGAACATCTGGAAAATGCCCTTATACGGCCAAAATCGTGACCGGATAAAGTTCTCAATATCCGGCCAAAATGGCCATGGGAGCCGGATAAAAGCTGGTTTAGCCAGATAAAAAATCGGAGCCGGTTAACTTGCTGCCGATGTTACACTATCTGGACAGTCAGCCGGATAATCATTGAATTGTCCGGATATGAAAGCCATGTGCTCTCGACCCTCGTGTTACACCACAGTGCCGCGGCATTAGTGAAATATTTTTTAAATAGCTTTTTATTTTCATAGTAACTTTGAACATTTTTGGCCAAGACTGTCTGGTAGCAGCATGAATCGTTCTGGAGGTGTTAAGAGGAAGAAGGTTGTCCTAACACTTAAGGACAAGCTACGTGTTATACAACTTTATGAAAATGGCCGGTCGACCTCAAGTGTTGCCAAGAAATTTAATATAGGCACTAGTACTGTTTCTGATATAAGGAAACAAAAAGAAAATTATGAAATATATTTCAACCTGTGAAAGTGAAGGTGCAAGCATTAGTAGAGGTTGTGGTAGAAAGACCTATGAAAATTTTGACGCATGTACAGTTGGTTGAGGCTGTGTATAAATGGTTTGATCAGCACCACACGGCTGGCGTGACAGTTTGAGGCCCAGAAATACAAAATGCTGCAAGCAGGTTTGCAGCAAGCCTTGGAATAAAGGATTTCGAAGCGAGTGAAGGGTGGGTTGCAAGGTTCAAGGATAGGTACAATATTGTGAAGAGGAAAATTGTCAGTGAAAAATTGAGTGCAGATACAAGCAGTGTAGAACCATTTAAACATAAATTAAGAGCATACATTTTGGCAAATACAGTAATTTATATTATCAAATTTATAATGCTGATGAAACTGGGCTGTATTGGAGGAGTTTACCAGAGAAACTCTAGCATTGAGTGAGGGTTGTGCTAAGCCATAATGTCAACAAGGACAGGCTATCGGCCATGATGTGTGCGAATGCCGGCGGCACAGACAGAATCACGTGTGCAATTGTTGGCAAATCAAAGAAACCAAGAGCCTTGCAACATTGCATGGATAGACCGCCAGTCAATTATTATAACTCTCAAAATACATGGTTTACACAGATCTTTTTTTTCCTGGTTCCATGACGTGTTCTGCAAGGAGGTTCGTGCCTATCAAGTTAAGAAACTCAAAGTAAGGCCAAGCGTAGTTTGGGCTTTGCTACTACTTGATAATGCGTCTGCCCACCCCAAAATTGACACGTTAACTTCACATGATGGCAAGATAACATGGCATGTATGGCACTTCCTCCTAACACAACCTCTCTCATCCAGCCAATGGATCAGGAAGTTATCTGTGCCACGAAGAGGTTGTACACTAAAAAGATGCTTAACGAAGTTTTGGTGGTTTTGCCTCTTCCGGAAGATATTGAACTGTGTGGATAACAGGGCTAAAAAAAAACCTTGAGAATTTGAAGAACTATACAATCAAGGAAGCCATCTATAACTGGGCCAAGGTGTGGAGTGAAGTAAAGGAATCGACTTTGAAAAATTCCAGGGAAAAACTCCTCACGTCTACGGTCAGAAATGAGGAGGATGAAGAAATGGATTTTGAAGGATTTACAGATGAAATCCATGGAATGTTTAGAAATGCCGGCAAAAACTTAGACAGGATCTTGCTGATTGGCTTGAAAAAGATGCCAATGACCCAGGATATGGCATGATGAGTGAAGACAAGATTCTCCAGTCTGTTGCTGGTGAGGTCGACGTAGAGATGGAGGATGAAGAAGGCAGTGATGAACCAACACCAATGACTACAAAATACAGTACACTCATGACCTATGTTGACAGATTAAAAAACTTTTCATCCAGTTGTGCTCATCCAGAAGTTGGAAACGTGTATCCGTACCCGAGGTGAATAAAAGAGCTGATCATACAACTGGACAGTGAGCACAGAAGGCAAGCAACACTTGATTCTTATATGGTATGAAAATCATGCCAAGCGCCTTCAACAAGTGAGGCATCACAGCCAAGCCAAATGCCTTCATCCAGTGAGGCTTCTGCAGCTGACAGTTAACTTAACCACAGCTAACTGCTTAATGAACTGTACAGTAATTTTAGGTGTTAATTTTAGTGTTGTGTTAGTATAGGTTTCTTAACACTATCCGTCACCTTGGACCGAACTCGCGTCCATTATTTTTCTCATGAATCCTAGCTTTGGACCGGACTTGTGTCCACTACAAAAATATTTGTATAAAATTCATTTTTTATCCAATCGACCTCGGGATAGTATCAAAATAAGCGCCTTTAGATTGCACACAATTTGATACCAAATTGAAGATATAACATGAAACTTGATGTCCGAACACTTGAAAGATTATAAATAGATTTTTGGTCAAAATATTAAAATATTTGTTAAAATTCTATTTATTGTCCTATTATTGTGGGACTAGTTTTAAAATGAGTGCCTTTACATTGCGAATAATTTGATACCAAAATGAAAGATGTAACACAAAAATTGATGTCAGAACACTGGAAAGATATAAATAATTTTGTGATGATGAGCTTCCAGAATTAAAATATTTGTTAAAATTCCAGTTATTGCTCTATTATTATGGGACTAGTTTTAAAATACGCGCCTTTTTATTGCGAACAATTTGATACCAAAATGAAAGACGTAACACGAAAATTGATGTTATCAAATTGAACGAGTATACACATTAGGTTGCAATGTACAAATTGGTGCTCGTTCACGGGTAACTTTAGGCTTTTCTGCGGGGAGGCACTCCAGGCTTTTGTACATTATATTCATACACATCTGTAGGGAATTTAATTACGAACACAATGATACCAAAACGAGCGACGTAGCACGAGAATTAAGGCGAGAAAAATGGAACGAGTATGCACATTTTATTGATTTTGTGCGCTCACGGGTAACTTTTGCCTACTTTAGGCTTTGCTGTTGGGAGTCACGCCAGGCTTTTGGACATTATGTTCATGCACACCTGTAGGGAATTTAATGGCGAACACAATGATACCAAAATGAACGACGTAGCACGAGAAATAAGGTGAGAAAACTGAAACGAGTATACACATTTAGGCGTCGCCGCGCGCTTGCCCACACACTCGCTCGCACATTGTGTGCATGACCTCTAAGTTGGCGGCGCGCCTGCCGGGATACCGATAGTGTTAAATTGTCAAGAATTCTTAACTTCAAGGTGTGTGGCATCAATCGAGAAGACAAACAACAACAAGGTAAGTTGAGGTTTCTAGTTGAATATTTAATGTGGCAAGGCAATTCAAATTATGTTCGTTTGTAATATAAAAATAGTTGGAAATGGTTAGTTTTGGACTGTGAAAAAGTACCATTATCCGGAACACGTGATTATTTGACTGGGGGTCCTTCCCATATAGTTCGGATAATCGAGTCCACTGAGGGGGTCCTCAATTTTCAACTTTTCGACATGCGTCAAAGTTTTCAACGTTCTTCTATCACACCCTCTGCTAGTGCTTGCACCTTCACTCTCACTGGTTGAAATGTATTTCAGGTATTACTCTTTTTATTTCCTTATATCAGAAACAGTACTAGTGCCTATATTAAATTCCTTGGCAACACGAAGTCAACCGGCCATTTTCACAAAGTTGTACAACACGTAACTTGTCTTTAATTGTTAGGGTAACCTCCCTCCTCTTAACACCTCCAGAACAATTCATGCTGCTACCAGACAGTCTTGGCCAAAAAGGTTCAGTTACTATGAAAACAAAGTTATTTAAAATTTCACCAACGGCGCGGCACTGTGATATAACATGAGGGACAAGAGCACATGGGCTGTTTTGCTTGACCAGGCCTAGACGGGTCCTCTAGGGGCAGGCAAGCACGTTACATAGGCCGCCTGGCGGAAAAAAACTTTTTGAAGCAAACTGCAGCCTGTACAAATTGTTTTTAGGAAACTTGTATATTTGTTATTACATAATTATTTCTTTTGTTTTTGAATGTGATGAATTTTTCTAAAATTATTGGTAATTCGTACTAGTGTATAGGTCCCTCCACATCACCCTTATCCCTCAGGCGGTCCCCTCCCAACACCACCCACCCACCCCACCCCCTCCTACACCATGCGCCTAGAGCCACAGGCGTAAGGGATTATTACGGTACGACCCGCCGTCTGGCTTTCTGGTCCGGACAATTCACCGCTTGGTCCGGCTGACTTTCCGGATAGTGTAACATTGACAGTAAGTTAACCAGCTCAGATTTTTTTTATCCAGCCAAACACTCGCTGGTCCGGCTCCAATGGACATTTTGGCCGGATGGTGAGAACTTTATCCGGCCACGATTTTGGCCGGTTATGGGGGTTTTCCAGATGGTCGGATTCCAGATTAGCGAGTGTCTACAGTAATAAATTAATTAATAGTGGATTTATGGAGATCACGTAATCCTTTAGAATTCAATTGTCAACAACAAATTTTTCAATGCAATCTGGACAGACCTACCCAACAATCCTCCATAGCCACATCCAATGTCAGCAAATTCCACCTTTTTTGTACCATCTCCGGGGAAGTACTTGGGAAAGTATGGACTCCAGTCCATTGTAGATGAACATACTGGGCTGCAAAGTAAATTAAATATAATGTATATGTTTAGCTGGCTACTTCTTAAAATATGTAAACTACAAGTGTAAAATATGAATACAAAAGCAGATCACTGAGAATAATGAAACCACTTTCTTGGCAGTGCCTTGGTAGCTTCAAGACTAATCATCCAACCAGGTATAAGAACCTCTTCAATTTCTGCATTGTGCTCTTCAAGGGACAGAGCTCATGGAAATTACAAGAACTATCAGGCTCGCAGAGCCTGATAGCTGTCTCATTCTTCGCCAAAAAAGAAAGACGGTTGCAACCTAACAAACCTACCACCAGGATCGAAGAGCAGAAACCCCTGCACTGGAGAAGAGCATGAAGCTCCTCGACCCAACCCCCAGAGGCCAATGCCAACAAGAGAGTTGTCAAAACAATCACAAACCAAAGGGGCCACAACAAACCTAGAAGAGAGTAAAGAGAGCACCCGGTTCAACAACCATGACGGCTCAGGCAGCGCAGGAGCAGGCTGGAGGTGAAACAACGCACGAGACAGCTTGCGAAAAGGGGCTGAAGTGACATCCACCCCGATCGCAAGCAGGAGTGGCTCCACCAGTGTCGCACGATACGAGGGGGCAGTATTCGGCACAAGATGACGGTCTTGAAACAATCAAGAGAAAGGACAAGACAACCAAGAGAAAGGACAAGACAACCCAATCAGAAACCAAAGACAACCTACAAAGAGACGAACGGTAATGAAAGGACCGCCAGGAGACTTCACCTGCTGCAGACACAAAACTCGCAGATGAGACACCATCAAAGAAGCCACTTGATCACTATACAAATGGTGATAAACCCACGTCAGAAAAACCAGACGCGAAGATTAGAGAAGATCTAACTAGCCATGTACCGGACTGGACCGAACTGCTGAAAGAGGCAGAGCCACGTTTAAGTCCCCAGGTTCGGACACCGAGCAAGAAGTGCCAGAAACCAAGACTAGATCGGCCACCAAGGGGCTAACAGAACTACTCTCCCCTGGTTAGTCTCCAAATGAGTCGGAACCCGAAGCAACAGTGAACCGGTGGGAAGAAATACAGTACAGGCAACCCTTCCTTGACCAGTCCTGCCAAAAATCGTCTACCCCAATGGCTTCGTACTCAGGAAAGGGCACCACATATACCGGCAGATGTCTCAACCACGCCAACGTGAAGAGGTCCACCTCCAGGCGCCCATATATCTGGCAGAGCCAACTAAACGAGTCAGCATCGACTGTCCATTCCGTGGACAGGGGACTGAACTGGGTCAGGCCATCTGCCATGACATTGGACACCCCTTTGATGTGAACCGCCAGGAGACCCAAACCCCGAGAACTCGGCAGACTAGTTCATCTGCCAAGTTCTTGTCTGCAGCCAGCTCCAAACAGCCAAGGACCACATCAAACCCCCTCGGTTTAGGCAATGAATCACAGAGGTGCACCCTGAATAAAGCTAGATCGTCGATCCACGAGCAAGACAAACCCCTCTGAAACAACAGCTACAAACTCCCTCGCGCTATGCCGTGAGCCCAACAGAAGGCTGGAGCCCAATATTCCTGGCCGGCCTGGTGAGCGCTGGTCAAAGCCCCAGCCAAGGCACAAGGCATTTGTGAACACATCGTGCTGGGGTTAGGGGTTCGAAATGGCACCGAACCCAGAAAAACCCAAAGAGTAAGCTGGAGACGTAACAACCAATGCAAGGACCCCAGCGATTGTGAGAACGGCGAAAGGGGCTGCCCCAAAGATATCAGAACAGCCTCCGAAGGAAAACCAGAAGAGCAAAGTTCAGGCTCCCACACAGCTGCTCAAGCAACCATGGAGTGACCCCCCCCCCAAAAAAAAAAACTGACCGATAGCAGGACTGCAGCCAGAGCAAGGACGTAGAAGGGAGAAAAAGGGACGCCATCTGAGAATCCCACACAAGACCCAGCCTAGTCCGAACTTAAGATGGAACCAACTGGGACTTTCACTAGGAACATGAACCCGGCTAGCTGGGAAAGCCATCCAAAAGGATGGCTTTCCAAACAATGGGGCGATCCAAACCAGGACAGATGAGACAAGTCCAGAATGTAATGGAGATCTGTACAGTCCCATGTTGGAATTGGAAACAGGCGAGATACCTACCTGAGAATCAAGGTTGGTTTCGTAAAACCTACCAAGGTAAAAATCAAGGTAATTTGTGCGAACACAAATTACCATACCAAAACAAACCCATTTCAGGATGACCTGACGGATGGGGAAAAGTCCTGCCTCCCCGCCCCTAAGACCCCCTCCACCCTCACCAAGAGAGGCAGGACCACCCAATGCCATCGAAGGCCACAAGACACGACCCAAAAAGCCCAAGAGTTGTGGGACCAGGTGTAGGCAAAAAATACAAGCTCCCCCCCATCACCCCGTCAATGAGGCGACCCAAAAATAGGGCCAACACGAATCCAGAGATGTCGAGTGGGGACTTTAGCATGCACCAGATCAACATGAAGTGCAGGGGCGAAGAGGCACTTACTCGAGGGAAAGACCTCGAAGAAGGTAATCTGCTGGGTCGACTCGGAAGCCTCGGCGGGAAAGAGAGGCTTAACCACCTCCGTGCCCGCATTGGAAGGGGCAACCCCCAAAGCCACCCAAGCCTCATTCTGAGCTAAACCCAGTCCTGACTCTGAAACCCTCAGATGTTTGAGAGCCAAAAGCAGGGAGGAAGGAGCAGGGCAAACCACACCCACCTAGGAAGGAAGCAGAGGTGCGGATTGAACCAAGGCCGAAGCGACCATCGCCCTCAAATCAGTTCCTAAAACGAAACTTGGCAACTCTGGGGCCTCCAACCGGGCAACCAACCTGGCCCGTTGCAATAAAAAGAAGCTATCATGCAACGCAGCCACTGCCTGATCCCCGAGATCCTCGGATAAGGGATGAGTAAATTGGAGCAGAAGTGGGAAACAAGTTCCACAAGACTCCGGGTCTTGGGTGTGTATGACCCAACAAGCAGAACGAGAGGCAGTATGGATGATCGTCTCCATGAGGCAGGGGGATGAACCTTCAAATTCACACAAGGCAAATTGCACAAGTATCCATTGTATGACTGCGCCTGCAGGAGTTTTCCAGGGCACATAGAATGAATAAGCCCTACGAGAAGCCCAGGCACTGGGGCCAGCTAAGCAGGTAAACCCTGTCTGTAGCAGGCAAACCGACTGCAAGCAGCAATCATGAAATCTCTGAGGCAACAAAGGAGGGCCACCACCATAACATAGGCTAAGCCTAATAAGGAGTTATTAGGCTTAGGACCTAATAAGGAGGTTGTTGCAGACCACCTCTGCAACAGGAAAAAATGCCAGAATGAGAACAGGGGATGGGGTAGTGCTAATGAGTGGGGCACTTGTTGGATGAAGTGTTGTTTGTTTTTCTCATGGGAGGGGGGGGAGTTCTTTTCCTATTTTGAGAACATAGCTCCCAATTTTCAACCTGTGGTCTGTTTTGATTTGCCTACAATTCTGGGTGCCTTCCCAGGTCAATGGCAAGTATGACATACTTTACATTTAAAGTGCTCATGGGCCATTGCTTTCTGCGCCTCTCTAAGGGGGCCAGGTTCTGGCTTTAGTTCCCGGTAGGCAACAAGAACTTTGCGACTGATGCCCCCAACTAACATTGTACGATATCAGTATGGATAGAGCTTCAGGGAGCCGACGGGACTCCCCACACAAATGAGAGTCATTTTTGGCATCATCATCATCCAGTGTTTGAACGTTTAGGACAGCCACAGAGGAGACACACTAAGCTTTTAACAACAGCAAATGATTATCATGTATATATTGGAAGCAAAATGTGTGCTACATACAATTTTAAGACTTAAGCTTATATAAAGTATATAAATTAGAATGAATAAGTATATGGTGTTTGAATACTTATATATCCATACATCATTATATTTTCAGTTATAATAATAAACAGTAGCTTTGACATCAATGCTACCTGTTAGCATGAAAAACTAAATAAAGTGAGAAATAATGAAAATAAATCAACAAAGTTATTCCCATGCAGCACCTCACCTCATTTATACCCAAAAAATGCAACTTCTCCAGGCCACTACAGCTAAGCCACAAGAGGTACACACTTTAAAAATTGGATTTTTGTGCTTCCCAGAAGCTAACAGTCAAAATAAAAAATAAAACAGTCAAAATAAAAAATAAAACAGTCAAAATAAAAAATAATTTTTTCAGAACAATTTTTTCTTTGCACACCATGGGAATGTTAGGAATTAACAGTTGCACAGCCCAGGGATTAAACTAACTTAACAAAGCTGCCAAAGAAATATATGAAAATTCACTTTCACAAACAAGAGAGGTAGATGGTTGGAACAAGTTCGATAAGAAGATGGTGGAGGCCAATACCGTCAGTTTCAACACAACATATAACAAAGTACTGGCTAGACGGAACACCAGGAGCATAGCTCTCAAAACTTTGGTAACTATTCCATGTGCCAGTATCTAAATATCACAGCACCCCATGTGCCAGTATCTAAATATCACAGCACCCCATGTGCCAGTATCTGAATAGCACAGCACCCCATGTGCCAGTATCTAAATAGCACAGCACCCCATGGGCCAGTATCTAAATAGCACAGCACCCCATGGGCCAGTATCTAAATAGCACAGCACCCCATGGGCCAGTAACCAAATAGCACAGCACCCCATGGGCCAGTATCTAAATATCACAGCACCCCATGCACCAGTACCTAAATAGCACAGCACCCCATGGGCCAGTATCTAAATAGCACAGCACCCCATGGGCCAGTAACCAAATAGCACAGCACCCCATGGGCCAGTAACCAAATAGCACAGCACCCCATGCACCAGTACCTAAATAGCACAGCACCCCATGGGCCAGTAACCAAATAGCACAGCACCCCATGGGCCAGTAACCAAATAGCACAGCACCCCATGGGCCAGTACCTAAATAGCACAGCACCCCATGGGCCAGTAACCAAATAGCACAGCACCCCATGGGCCAGTACCTAAATAGCACAGCACCCCATGGGCCAGTACCTAAATAGCACAGCACCCCATGGGCCAGTAACCAAATAGCACAGCACCCCATGGGCCAGTAACCAAATAGCACAGCACCCCATGGGCCAGTACCTAAATAGCACAGCACCCCATGGGCCAGTAACCAAATAGCACAGCACCCCATGGGCCAGTACCTAAATAGCACAGCACCCCATGGGCCAGTACCTAAATAGCACAGCACCCCATGGGCCAGTAACCAAATAGCACAGCACCCCATGCACCAGTACCTAAATAGCACAGCACCCCATGGGCCAGTAACCAAATAGCACAGCACCCCATGGGCCAGTAACCAAATAGCACAGCACCCCATGGGCCAGTATCTAAATAGCACAGCGGAGAAGGGTCATTTCGGATACGATTCAACGAAGCTCGTTTCCTGTTCATTAAAATCATATATATATATATATATATATTGTAATGCTAGGATGTGGGTCAGGCTGTAATGCACTCGGTTCAGTTGGGTTGGATTTGGTTAGGTCGAGTTGGATTCGGTTAGGTAGCGTTGGGTTCGGTTAGGTCGAGTTAAGTTAGGCCGAGTTAGGTTAGGTTTCAAAATCCGTTGGTGAATCATCTCGTGCACATTGTAACTTGTATGGAGCACAGTATCTCACGGGCTTCAATCTTACATATTCATAACCTTTGTGTAAGAGTTATTAATTTATGATTCTCTAGACATTCTTGAGAAATTACTTGTGCAACAGAGCAACAAAACAGTAAGTATTAGTCATGTATAATCAAATCATGCTGATGCATCTTGAGAAAAAGCTGGTCGTTCTAATTGTATACATAATTATATTATCTCAAGTTAAACTAGGGTTTTGTTGGGGGGTTAGTTTGGGTTGTTGGGGGTTAGTTTAGCTTAGGCAGAAGCCAAGGCCAAGGCTGCTCCTTGGTCTTGGCTTCTATGTATACTACTGCCCACAACACTTTCTCAATGGCATTTAATAAGTTATAAATAATTATATATGCATCTTTACCCTATGAACTTAATATTAGGTATTTAATGGTTCTTACTCATCACGTGATCACGGGTTATTCATGCCCGTGCCATCTCTTGGGGGTGACTTAATCTTTATCAATCTTAGTAATCAAGTGACCAAACTTACTCATGTTCACTTACTAATCAAAGTTGTGGTCAGCAATAGGGTTGGAGTGAGCTCTCTGGCGATAATATTTCTTCTGTGGTAACTTAGGCATTGTTGTTGTGAAGTATTGGGAGAGGTTGTGGCTGGAGCTGTTGTGTGTGGCGGCGTGTTGTGGGTAGTGGGCCCTGGCCTCAGCCCTCACCACACACACGCCTCATACTCCATATATCTCTAGTACCACTAATAATAACTACTCCTATTAATTCAATAATTACTAAAATTAATATAAAATAAATTTAATAAATTAAACTAATTAAATCTCAATTACTATTATTTATACTTTAATCTCAAGTTCTATTAAGTTCAAGTCTAAGTGTGGGTTTTTTCCTCCCCACATCGTTATTTATTTATTTATATTTATTTATTAATTTATATATATTCAAAAATTTGCATTGGGTTTGTGAGGATACATAGCATGGTGTTTACATTCTTCTAAAGCCACTCGTACGCGCAGCATTTCGTAAAGGTCCTTAATCTAACAGATAATTTTAAGAAGGTAAACTCTAGCAAAAGTTATAAAATGATCACAGTTACATTGTAAGAAAAAAACATGAGAGAAAAAACACTTGCCCAAAACTCTGTGCGTATTAGTGGCTTTAGGTATTGTATGTACTAGCTCTATCTATAAATCCAACAGTATGTTCGTAACTCTTCATCTATGTATATACTTTTACCTGAATAAAAAAATAGAATTTGAATATGAATGAAAGTTATGACGGAGACGTCTGCTGGAGGATGTTGTCCTCGCTGCCAGCCCTGTCAAGGAGAACGGCAACTGTCAAGGGGAAACTTTCTTTTATTTTGTGCAAATTTAGTTGCACAGCAGTGTGCTTGTTCTTTATAAGAGCTGTACCGCTCTGTGGTGACCACGGGAGACATCTCCGGTCACGCAGGGGGCAGTCGCACCTCCACTGATCTCCAGTATCAGCTATTGATACTGGTAATGGCTCAAAAGGGCCACCACTTACGGGCTATTCATGCCCGTGCCACCTTTTGGCTGGCTTAATCTTTATCAATCATCAAATCAATCTGTGGTGACACACTGCTCTCACCACGGCGTCCTGACAACTTGCAATTGTGTACAATTTTTGCATTATTCTATATTTGTTTTTATTTTCCGGCCTGTAAAGCACACAAGGGAAGGGAGTTTTCAGAGGAAAGCGCCAAGCCATTACGACTATATAGCACTGGGAAGGGGTCAGGATAATGATTTGAGATGGGACGGGGGGAAGGATTGGGGCCCCAACCACGTGGACGGTCGGGGATTGAACGCCGACCTGCAAGCGAGACCGTCCGGCTCAAGTGGTGTGGGGTAAAGCACACAAGTGCATGCACACAATTTGACACATTGCTTGCATACGCTGAGGCTAAGACTCCCGGTATTATTGGCATCAGTGAAATATGGGAACGCGAGGACATAACAGAAGGGGAATTCCATCTCCCGAGACACCACCCACCTTTCAGAAGGGGCAGAACACCAAGAGCAGGCGGGGGAATGCTATGTTGACCAGACCACACACTACAAGGTGAAGGGACGACCACGTCTCGGTCCGTCCTGGACCATTCTCAAGTAGGGTAATGCTGTATATGAAAGGGGACCAGAACACAACCAACAATGAGTAAATAACAGAGTCCGTATGGTGCAACACTGCCTCAAGATGGTAGCTAGCTGTCAGTGGCAGTATACTTCAGGGTTGACACAGTCAGTATGGTACAACACTGCCTCAAGATGGTACCTAGCTGTCAGTGGCAGTATACTTCAGGGCTGACACAGTCAGTATGGTGTAACACTGCCTCAAGATGGTACCTAGCTGTCAGTGGCAGTATACTTCAGGGCTGATACAGTCAGTATGGTACAACACTGCCTCAAGATGGTACCTAGCTGTCAGTGGCAGTATACTTCAGGGCTGACACAGTCAGTATGGTGTAACACTGCCTCAAGATGGTACCTAGCTGTCAGTGGCAGTATACTTCAGGGCTGATACAGTCAGTATGGTACAACACTGCCTCAAGATGGTACCTAGCTGTCAGTGGCAGTATACTTCAGGGCTGATACAGTCAGTATGGTGCAACACTGCCTCAAGATGGTACCTAGCTGTCAGTGGCAGTATACTTCAGGGCTGATACAGTCAGTATGGTGCAACACTGCCTCAAGATGGTACCTAGCTGTCAGTGGCAGTATACTTCAGGGCTGACACAGTCAGTATGGTGTAACACTGCCTCAAGATGGTACCTAGCTGTCAGTGGCAGTATACTTCAGGGCTGATACAGTCAGTATGGTACAACACTGCCTCAAGATGGTACCTAGCTGTCAGTGGCAGTATACTTCAGGGCTGATACAGTCAGTATGGTGCAACACTGCCTCAAGATGGTACCTAGCTGTCAGTGGCAGTATACTTCAGGGCTGACACAGTCAGTATGGTGTAACACTGCCTCAAGATGGTACCTAGCTGTCAGTGGCAGTATACTTCAGGGCTGACACAGTCAGTATGGTGTAACACTGCCTCAAGATGGTACCTAGCTGTCAGTGGCAGTATACTTCAGGGCTGATACAGTCAGTATGGTACAACACTGCCTCAAGATGGTACCTAGCTGTCAGTGGCAGTATACTTCAGGGCTGATACAGTCAGTATGGTGCAACACTGCCTCAAGATGGTACCTAGCTGTCAGTGGCAGTATACTTCAGGGCTGACACAGTCAGTATGGTGTAACACTGCCTCAAGATGGTACCTAGCTGTCAGTGGCAGTATACTTCAGGGCTGACACAGTCAGTATGGTGCAACACTGCCTCAAGATGGTACCTAGCTGTCAGTGGCAGTATACTTCAGGGCTGATACAGTCAGTATGGTGCAACACTGCCTCAAGATGGTACCTAGCTGTCAGTGGCAGTATACTTCAGGGCTGACACAGTCAGTATGGTGTAACACTGCCTCAAGGTGGTACCTAGCTGTCAGTGGCAGTATACTTCAGGGCTGACACAGTCAGTATGGTGCAACTCTGCCTCAAGATGGTACCTAGCTGTCAGTGGCAGTATACTTCAGGGCTGATACAGTCAGTATGGTGCAACACTGCCTCAAGATGGTACCTAGCTGTCAGTGGCAGTATACTTCAGGGCTGACACAGTCAGTATGGTGTAACACTGCCTCAAGGTGGTACCTAGCTGTCAGTGGCAGTATACTTCAGGGCTGACACAGTCAGTATGGTGTAACACTGCCTCAAGATGGTACCTAGCTGTCAGTGGCAGTATACTTCAGGGCTGACACAGTCAGTATGGTGTAACACTGCCTCAAGATGGTACCTAGCTGTCAGTGGCAGTATACTTCAGGGCTGATACAGTCAGTATGGTGTAACACTGCCTCAAGATGGTACCTAGCTATCAGTGGCAGTATACTTCAGGGCTGATACAGTCAGTATGGTGTAACACTGCCTCAAGATGGTACCTAGCTATCAGTGGCAGTATACTTCAGGGCTGACACAACAAGAGCAGATCAAGGAAGCTGTTGATCTGCATAATGTGATGAGTACGGCATCATCACCCCAACCACAGGCAGGATGAGGACCATAGCACAAATACCGACCTACAACAACACAATTAGAAAATAGAAATCGGTCCTATTGAATTTGGACAAACCGGAAAACTATTTTCAAGTTATATTGCAAAGGCAAACTAAACTAACGTTCCTAGGTCTAATACACGCTATCTGAGGGCTAATATAGTTCATATGTGTGCTATAATAGGTCTAAGAATATTATAGTTTGTTTTGTAGCTTCACTTTTTCGGACTCTATGAATAGTACAAAGTTCTATTATCTAATTGCTTAGTATGTCAATATTTGTACTGTGGTGCACATAATTACAACAAAGTACTGTCTAAACAGGAGGATGGGTTGAATAATGGGAGACTTTAACCACGAGAACATAGACTGGGTAAATAACAAGCAGAAGGAGAACAATTTCTAAACCTGGTACAGGACTCCTGTCTCATAGAGCATGAGGCAGCGCCCACACGAGGTAACATCATTCTAGACCTTGTGCTAACATCACAAGATGTCATGACTGGTCATATTCAGGTGGGAGAACACCTTACCCCCTCGTATGATCACCATATAATTATAACATGGATTACCAATATTGAAACCCACATAAACGTCCATGATGATGAGTTTCTACATTACCCTCGAAGACACTATCAAAGACTGAGATAGGATCTTCTTGCGGCGGGGCTTTTAGTGTCCCCGCGGCCCGGTCCGCGACCAGGCCTCCACCCCCAGGAACCAGCCCGTGACAGCTGACTAACACCAAGGTACCTATTTCACTGCTAGGTAAGAGGGGCATAGGGTGCAAGAAACTCTGCCCATTGTTTCTCGCCGGCACCCGGGATCGAACCTGCGACCACAGGATCACAATTCCAGCGTGCTGTCCGCTCGGCCGACCGGCTCCCTTAAGGAACTGCACAACACCTCCTGGAGGGAGCTGGTAGGTCAACATGGCATGGAAAAATGTCAACATCTTCCCTGAATTTGTTCCAATATGTACCAAACAGGACCACGAAAATAACGTGAACGTGATGGATGATACACGTCGTAAACGAGCATTGATAACTAAGGGGAACCTCTGGAGAAGATGTAAATCCACGATGAACTTCATTGACTATGAGTTAGTTTTAGTTTAGTTCATTTATTATGCACCCCATACCCATGTTGTGGGCGGTAGTGGAAAGGGTTACAGAGGCACATAATGGGCTCAGGGACTGAACCCCACAATTCATTTAGCTAAGCAAGTTACAATCTTGATGAGCTAGTTACAAAATTCAATATAAGTCGTCACATCAACAATGTGTTCGAGATCGACCTCAAGTACAGGTTCTAAATTAAGCAACTGACATATGTGGAGAGCTAGTGTCACAATTGATATGTTTGTCCTGCACACCGCCCCCCATCCAGTGGGCAGCGGTGGATAGGTTACAATCACTCAGTTACTACCTACAGTTAGCAAACTGGGGATATTTGGCTAAAATTTCTGGTAGCCGATCATTTTGAATGAAATATTGACACATCGCTGGAACATTGGCTATAGAATTGTCTCTAAATTCACGTATCTTTTCGCACTCCATCACATAGTGACGGAGGGTGTGCGAATAATTTTGTTGACACAG